CTGTGTGTGGAGATTCTGGAAGGTAGGAGCCCCTAACCTCCAGACGGTCGTGTTCTTTTTCGCTGTTTCCCTCCGTTTGGCCCTGTTTGCTTATGTCTGTCTCTGTTTCTTCCTCCGTATTGGAGGGTTCCGAAGTTGGAAGCCCTAGCCTCTGGAGGTTAGTGTCCCAACCTCCGGATTCCAGTGCTTTCCAGCCACCCCCGTTCCCCCCCTCCCTCCCTCCTCCTCCCTCCTCCTCCTTCTCCTCGTCGCCCTCGTCCTCCTCCTCCTCCTCCTCTCCCTCCTGTTCCACCTCCTCCTCCGCCTCCTCCTCCGCCTCCCTCCCTTCCTCCCTCCCTCTCTCCCTCCTGACCCTCCTCCCCCTCCCCCTCTTCCTCCTCGTTCTCGTACTCGTCCTCCTCCTCCTCCTCCTCCTCTCCTCCTCCTCCTCCTCCTCCTCCTCCTCCTCCCATGATCTTCCCTTCTCCCCTTCCTCCTCTCCTCCTGCTCCTGATCGCTTCGCTGGGTGCCCAGCATGGTGGAGTCCGCCCCCCCCCCACACCCCCCAACGGTGAAGCCGGCCATGTCGTCCTCGTCGTTGAGCCCGCTTGAGGTCGAAGCCACAATTTCTCGATCCTCGATTGTCGAGGTAAGAGATTTTCGGACGCTGTTGGCCCTTGCGTGCCGTGCCTGCGGAGGTCTCCGGCAGACTTCTGTGGGGACCTCCGAAAACCTGCGGAGGAGTCAGCATGCGAGGCGGCAGCAAAACTTCCCACTGGAAGCACGCGGCCGCTGGTCTACGTACGTAGAATTTGGAGCGGGCGATCCCTTGGAAATGCTCGATCTCCTCCTCCGCCTCCTCTTTCTCCCCCTCCCACTTCTTCCTCCTCCTCCTCCTCATCCTCCTCCTCGCCCATCCTCATCCTCCTCCTCCTTCCCCATGCCTCCCTCCCCTCCCTCCCCTCCACCACCCTTGGGCAACAGCCTCGGGGGTGGCTCCCAAGACGGTGAGAATATGCTCAGCTTCCGAGAGGTCCTCCATCGCCTGCGCCTCACCGAGCGCCTCTTCTGGCTGGAGAGCTGCTTGGACTCTTCTCGGAAACGGCTACTGGACGCCACCACGATCCGTGGCGAGGGCCAAATGCTAGGCCCTGGGATGGTGCGTGCACGGCCTCCGGGCCTCTACGGGGACGGTCTGTGCGCCATCCTACATAGGGTCCAGCACAGCCTGGGCCAGGGATTGTGATGTTAGCTCAGAGTACGACGAGAAAGCTTCCTTAAATATCAGCATCTCGGAACAAAAAAAACTATTTACTCTGTTTTATACGAAGACACGAATACTGCAGCTACAGACCTGAGAATTCGACAGGCTGACGCGTCATAACCCACTACATATTCAGAAAATACTGCCAGCTATTACCAAAACATCAGGGTGAGGGGGCCGGGCCTTCGTTCATTTTCCCTGGGTGCGTGGCTGAAATGGGGATCCGTGGTGGGGATTATGCTTGTTGTTGTCGTCGTCCCCGGGGCGATCCGCCCGCGACCCACCCGCGACCCACCCCGCGACCCACCCCGCGACCCAGCCCGCGACCCACCTGCGACCCACGTGCGCACCACCCAGCGATCCACCCAAATTGCCTTAACGAAAAAATCGGCGCCTGTGGCGGGCTCACTGCGTAATTAGTAAAAAGGTTAGGCGCCTGCGGCGGGCTTCTTCAGAGCCTCGCAGACTGACGACGTCCTCGCCGCCCACTCACTCTCATCCGCAACTGCAGGGTGCTACGGTAAACTTTTAGAGGTCCGCGCGGACCTCTTGGATCGTCGCTGGAGCACCGCAGCAGGACCTCTAACCATGAATGTTTACGCAGATTTGCGTTGAATGTCTATCTCGATGTTGTGTCCGCGAGGGGCCAGTGAACTGGCATGTTACATGTTGAGAGCGGACTCTGGCTGGGAAGCCCCACGCACCCTTGCCGCGAGCTCCCCGGAGTCGCTGGCCAGTGGAGGACACGAGCCCGCTGATCACAGCCAGGCCAGAGCGTCCAAAGCTCGACGAGATCTTTGTGGGCCCCGGAAACGGCAGGGCCGTGTTTTTCACCGTTTCCAAAAAAAAGTCCATTGAAAATGGAAACGGCAAAAAAACGGCGACCGGAAACGGCAACAAAAACGGCTCCAAGATCGGAAATGGAGCCGGAACCGGTCAAACAACGACGACGGAACCGGTAAAAAAACGGCGTCGGAACCGGCAAAAAAACGGCAAAACGGAACCGGTAAAAAAACGGCCCTGTCGTTTCCAGGGCCCACTAAGGACGAGATCATCCGGCGTCATCAGGCTTCTTGTGACAGGGGTGGCTGGGACACCTGGCCGACTGTCAGGTGCTGCCCACTTCTCGGAACGTCTGCTTGTCTGCCGGGCAAGCCGGCCCGCCTGCATGCGAGCTCTCCTGCCCGTGCCACGAGGGGCGCTCTGCGGGCAGGGTCTCGAGGTTAGTGTACTAGATTTTGAGTCGGGGATCGACTA